AGGCGGGGGAGGGGCGAGGGACGCGCCCAGGGCTCCTCGCCAAAGTGCCCGCCGCGCTTGCAAGCGTCTAAGGCCCCGGCGCCGGGGAAAACGCCGAGGCCTCCCGAGGAGCCCCGACTCCAGCGATGACGCAATCCTCGTGCACAAGTCTACATCGAGGTTTAAACTCCACCCGGAAGGCAGGACCCATCTCTTCGGCCTCTTAAGTGCTCAGGCAAACAATCTAGAAGGAAGAAAGGCCAAGAGAGTTTAAAAAAAAGACGGGGAAGCGAGGTTTAGGCTTATTGCTGGCCCCTCCCCGGTGCTTCCCCTTGTACCGCTTAAGTCATTTATATTAAGATGCTGGTGGCCGAAAGATTTCAAACATTTTGAAGCAGTGAATATCCTCACCCAGAACTATGGTCTCAAAGACATAGTTGGGTTCCTGGGTAGGTTCCCCCTCGAGGCGACATCCTAGAGCCGCCCTCTCAGTCCTGACTGTCAATCCATCCCAGCCTGGGCAGAGTGGGAAGACATCCCTTTGGCCAGGGCTGGTTCACCAATATTACATTCTTGCCTTTGACGTCTAATATGGAATGCTGTGGCGAGATGTCCACTCCACACTGAGACGACCTCCTCCTCCCCGGGAGAAAAATTGCCTCTTTACGTTGATTCACAGGATCCGAAAATGCTGTACGGAGGGACAACGCAAAAGACAAATGGACTGCCCTGGGGCTGCCACAAGACTGAAAAGTAGAAGTTTCCTCCTTCAGTGTTTCCTTAATTCTCACACTGCTTTCCTGGGAGCTGGGGACTCGGTTCTAGAACCTTGAAATGACCCTGTGATGCTGGACTAGAGGAGAAGCTCTGGGACTTGCAGACGGTCTGAGTGGAGAACTGATGTCAAATGAACCATGATGACTTCATCCGAGGCAATGACTTCATCCTTCTGACCCATGGAAATGCCAAAACTGACTGCCAGGAGTGCTCCAAGCCTGGGCCGGGCACACTGTCTTAGTAATCTAGCGTTGCTGTAATAAGAATACCAAACGTATGAGGCCTCTAGCAAACAAATTCATTCTTTCACTGTTTAGGATGCTAAAAGCCTAGATTCTGGGGGCCAGCATTAGGAGAAGACATTCTCCTTATGGGAGCTTTGGAAGAAGATCCTTATTTCTTCTTAGCTGCTGCTCCGGGGCCATCTTCAGATGGTTTGGCATTTCTCTTCGCCATCCTTACTACTCTGGCCCACTTGTTTCTTAGTGAGAGAGCTCCAGTAGCATAGTCCATAGGGAGCTGTGCTGGTACTCCAAACCTAGTACCTCACTGGAAATTCAAATCTACCAGCTGGTCTGAGAAAGAAAGATGGGCAAGCTCCTCTTGTGCAATTTATAGCCTCTGAAAACCCACTGGAGGGTCAGCTCTGAGTTGGTTCCAACTAGATGGCAGTGAGTGTGAGGCTTGTTGTTCTGGGATTTGGGGGTTTTTTAACTCTATTTCAAAATATCACAGGCAAGCAAGATTCTGCTGAAAATTATCCAAAAATGACTGGAACAAGCACATCAGCAGAGAACTACCTGAAGTGCAGGCTGGGTTTAGAAGGGGTCTGGTACTAGGGATATTGTAGCTGATTTTAAATGAATCATGGCTGAAAGCAGGGAATACCAGAGGAATGTCTATCTGTGCTTCATTGATTATGCAAAGGCGTTTGACTGTGTGGATCACAACAAACTGGTGCTGACTCTGAGAAGAATGGGAATCCCAGAACACTTGATCGTGCTAATGCGAAACCTATACTTGGGCCAGGAAGCAATCTTCAGAACAGAGCAAGGAAACACTGCATGGTTCAAAATTGGGAAGGGTGTATGCCAGGGATTTGTCCTATCTCCATACCTTTTCAGCCTTTATGCAGAACAGATTATCTCAGAGGCTGGGCTCCATGAGGAGAAATGTGGCATCAGGATTGGAGGAAGACTCATCAACAATCGTTGTTATGCAGATGACACAACCCTGCTTGCTGAACCTGAGGAGGACCTGAAGTGTTTGCTGCAGAAGGTCAGGGACTGCAGCTTTCAGTATGGATTGAGGCTCAATATCAAGAAGACCAAGATTGTCACCACTGGACCAATTGTCAGCATCAGATGGAGAAGAGATTGAGATTGTTCACAGCTTTAGTTTGCTTGGCTCCATAATCAACACTCTTGGCACCAGTAGCCAAAAAATTAAAAGACATACTGCAATAGGAAAGTCTGCTGTTAGGGACATCTCTAAAGTACTGAAGAGCAACGATGTCTGTCTGGATACTAAGGTGCACCTGATACAGACCATGGTCTTTGCAATCACTTGCTATGCATCAGAGAGTTGGACAGTGACTAGGGATGATAGAAGGAGAATTGATGCCTTTGAGCTATGGTGCTGGAGAAGAGTATTGAATATATCATGGACTGCTAAGAGAATAAACAGGTTTGTCCTGGAGAGGGTGAGAGCAGGCTGCTCCTTGGAAGCAAGGATTCTGAACATACTTTGGATCTGATGTACTTTTGGACATGGAGAGGGACATCATGCTTGGGAGGGTGGAGGGACAGCGTAGGAGAAGAAGACCCTGGATAAGATGGATCAATTCAGTGACTGGGGTAACAGGGGTAGGTGTGTTGGAGACAATGAGATTTGCACAGGATAGAGCAGGGTTTACAGCTGTTATACATAGGGTTGCTAAGAGTTACAGGCTACTCAAAGCACATAACAACAACAACAATTTCAAAATGCACCCTGTATCAATCTTGCCTCAATAATATAACAAAGCCAACCCCCATTCCTAAATGGCATTATATAACCACAGGATTTAGTGGTTTTAATTCCAATTAGTGGCTAGGATTTACAACACATATGTATTGCAATGGGAAAGTCTGCTGTTAGGGACCTCTCTAAAGTACTCAAGAGCAACGGTGTCTCTCTGGAGACTAAGTTCCGCCTGATACAGACCATGGTTTTTGCAATCACTTGTTATGCATCAGAGAGTTAGACAATGACTAGGGAGGATAGAAGGAGAATTGACGCCTTTGAGCTGTGGTGCTGGAAAAGAGTATTGAATGTACCATGGACCGCCAAGAAAACAAACAGATTCATCCTAGAGAGGGTTAAACCAGGCTACTCCTTGGAGGCAAGGATTCTGGGGCTTTGTCTGACATACTTTGGACATATTGTAAGGAGGGCCAGGTCCTTGGAGAGGGACATCATGCTTGGGAGGGTGGAGGGACAGCACAGGAGGGGAAGACCCTCTATGAGGTGGATTGATTCAGTGACTGGGGTAATCAGGATGGGTGTGTCAGAGGCAATGCGATTGGCACAGGACAAGGGTTTAGGGCTGTTGTACATAGGGGTCGCTATGAGTCGCAAACGACTCGATGGTACATAACAACAACATTTGGAGGGAGACACAATCCAGTCTTTAATACCAAGAATGTCTGTAGGGTTGGGAGGGAATGATTGTCCAGGATGCCCCAGATCAGCTCAGGAATGCACTGGCTGGAATGACAAACAGCCCTCAATAGATCCCTCATGGCCAAGGTGATGATGCTCACCATCTTAAAAAGAAAAAAAAATTCTCAAATTTGAGACAGAAAGCAACTTTGCTGTCAATCATCTCAAAGACTATGAGTTTTTAATTTTAACTAACCAAACTGTAGCATTTCTAAATGGCAACCCAATAATAGTGAAATTTCTTCTCAGCTTTCTTGCCTCCTTCTTCTCTACTCCTTTCTTCTTCCTGTCTATTGATTCATTGAGTATTTCATTTAACAAGCATTTTTTTTTAAAATGGTTTCTTTTATACTGGATTACTTACAAAGTTTGTATCATTGTTTTTCACACCAGATCTTTCCCATTTCCTCTACCCACTCTAACAAGGATTTTTTTTAAGGTTTACTATAAGCGAGCATGAAATTTTTTAAGAGAATAGGGTGTTGGTAATGGGTACTGAATATCCCAGGGACTGCCAAAAAAGCAAACAAGTCTGTCTTGGAGAAAGTTCAACCAGGGTACTCCTTAGAGACAAGGATGGGGAAACCTCCTCTTGGATACTTTGAATATGATGTCAAGAGGGGCCAGTCCTTGGAAAAGGACATCATTCTAAAAACACAGAGGCTCAGAGAAAGAGAGGAGGAAAAAAAGATATCATTCTAAAAAGACAGAGGGTCAGAGAAAAAGAGGCAGACCCTCAACAAGATGGACTGACAAAGTGATTGTAAGTGTGGACTCCAGCATGGGGGGAGATCATGATGATGGTGTTAGTGCAACATTCAGATCTGTTGTTCATAGGTTTGTTGTCTTAGTCGTCTCAATGGCACCTAACAACAACAGCGACACTAGAAGCCAGACTCATTTTCCGAGAAGAGACTGAAGAGCTGTTAAACCACAAGGACTAGCCAGGAAGACAAAAGGAGCTGATGGGCAAAGAGAGAATGACTGTGTCATGTAGAACTCCTTCTAGGGGTTCAAAAGAGTGGGTTGGTATTTAGCCCTTGAAGTGCTATAGACGGATTTACCAAAGGGCTGTCACTGACCTGGGGCTTAAGAGATTGATCGGAGGTGGTGGTTGTCTTACGTGCCCTTGAGTTGACTGCAACTCACAGAAACTCTCTAAACAACAGAAAGGAAACTTGTCCTATCCTGCGCCATCCACCCCATCTCTGATGTGCTTGAGTTCATTCTGCAGTCACTGTGTCAATGACTGGCCTCTCTTGAAAACATGACCAAAGTTGTGAGACCAAGTTTCACCACGCTTGTTAAGGAGCTGATCACCCTGACCACACTTCCTCCAGGACAGATTCCAGGTTAGATGTGTTTTTCCATTTGACAATCCATGGAATGTTTAGAAGTCTTCTCCAGCACCACAACTCAAAGGCATCAGTTATTCTCTCATTCTTATTCATTGCCCAACTTCCAGATGCATAGAAAGCAACTGAAGATACCATGACTTAGATCAGGTGCAACTTAGTCTTTAAATGAATATCCTTGGTTTTTAGCACTTTGGAAAGGCTCTTGAAAGCAGGTTTTCCCAATGCAACGCGTCTCTTGATTTGTTAACTGCGACTACGTGGGTGTTGATTGTGGGTGCGATTCTTCCACATTGTTGTTGTTGTTGTATGTCAGTTAGTTGACTGTGACTCATGACGACCCAGGAAACAGCACATCTGAACCTTGCCCTGTCTT